CATATCGTTCTATTTTAACATATTTCATATAAACCAAATCAAGTAAGAACTTATTCATATGAACTTGTTTTCCTAATATAAGAACTATAGCTATCTGGTCTACATCACAAGTCAGCCAAATTACGCGTGGATCAGAATATTTGTGAAGTCTCAAGTTTTTGTCAGCGGGCCCTACTCATAAGAATATTGTTTACAATGTTGGCTCCTGAGGGTTCACTTTTGCCCTCGACTTGCCCCCTGTAAAACCCGACCGCACGTCAATCGGTGGGTCGTCAATCGCGTAGTCGGGCCGAGTGTCATATGAGTCCTTCGGGTATTCTAGCGGGGGTGGTGACGGCGTGGCGTCGTCCTGTGTCTGTTTGTCGACCGGCTCGGGAGCTGCAGCAGCCTCCTGTCCGGCCTCGCTCTGCTGCCAGGCATCCTTATCGAACTCCGGTTCGACGTCGTCGAGGAACACAGTCTTGGGTGCTGTGGTCGGCTGTAGGTCGTGGCCGGGGCCTGGAGGCGGCGAGCCCGAAAAGGAGGGGCCGCCGGCGCCACCTGTTGACAGCATCTCGAGCAGCGAGGGAATGGCGTCGAGCAGGCGCCGCTGCTCGGCGTCGTCGGGCCCGCCCGACCCGTCGTCTTCCACCACCACGTAAACGGTCTGCGTGAAAGCGGGGGCGTTCTGCAGCTGCACCGGGGTCGCGACCTGCTGCTTCAGGTCCAACAACATCGAAAAGCACGTCGTCAGTGTGATGCGCCGAGGGGCCCGTCTCGTCCCGTCTTTGACTGAGGGGGAAGCGCTAGGCTCGACTTACCACATAGCCCCGCTGAGGAGGGTAGAAGAAGTGGTACGGCGCTCTCTGGTAGACTCTCTGGCTCCGCCCGCATGCTGCCAGGCTCACGAGGACCACCGCCAACAGCTGCCGCCATAAGACATGCACAATTATTGGGAATGGTCCGTTGAGTTTGGGAGATTTCTGGGCGTACCTGGACAAACGGTCGCGTGAAAATCATTCCTTGGACTTACCTGCGTCGTGATGTGGTGCGCCATTCTGCTGGCCGCGTGTGTCTGCTGCCTGGGCGCCGCCCCGCCGATCCTCTCCTGTGTGCCGCGGGAGAACGTCTGACGCACTGAGCCCCCGTCCTTATACGATCGGCATCCGCATTGTCCGCGCGGGATTATAGAGCGACGGGATGGGTAATCCCAGCAGCATCCTCGAGTGACGCGAGCCGCACCTGTGCCATCCTAATCCTGACACTGAACTTGATGAAACAGAATGGCCGCTTCTGTTGAGCGTGCCCTTTTATTACTGACTATTGAGTCCACGAAGCGTCGAGTGAGGCTCATTGTGGTTTTCTTTGATTTTACGGCGTGACCACATCGTGGTCGTACCGCGCTCATCGCGTTGGTTTATCTGACACGAGCCGCTGGAAGATATCTTCACAACATATGTTGCGGGACCTAGATTAGTCTAAAACTATGTTTTCTTCTTTAGTTGGTGTATTAAATGGTCGCAGGTGTACGATGAGGTAAGGTGGGTTGCGTGTCTTCCGGCCAAGGCGATGTCAAGGTTCGCGCGCGCATACCAGCGCAACGCGCCCGACAGACCTCGCATAGGCAACCAATCTGACGCGGATGGATGCAGTCGACAGCCACATCCAGCCCGGCGCCGCCGACACCACACACCGGGCACCGGCTCGCTCGCCGCCGCCCTGCTCACTTCACCCCTCACTTTCAAGCATTGCTCTTTTGTAGTTTTGTTTTCCTTGCAGAGCCGTTATAGTCCGGCCAGCCAAAGGTGACGCCTGGGTTTGCTGTAGCCGCCCATAAGAGCCCATGCTAAGCCAGGCGTCACCTTTGGCTGGCCGGACTATACACTTTTTTACACCGCACAGCATGTGGGATGTGTTGCCTATCCGATCGGGGTCGCAAGGCGCCGTGGTCTGCAACGGTAGGCAACCCACCCGCACGCATGTGCGCGGTACAGAGTATAACTACAGAAGAAGTATGCGAGGTCAATCATCCACCTGGTACTCTGGCGGTCGGACCAACCCCCAACCCCAACCCCTCTCTAATCTCCGCTATCACCGCAAAGAAATCGCACAGTTCCCGCCAAAAGCTTTCTTTGCGCCTATCCGGTATAAACTTCCCCCTTCCCCAGCTCCCACCCTCCCCTCTTCTCTTGTGTGTGTAACTACTCGATACTCCGAGAGATGGCGCTGCTTCTGTTTTGGAGCCGACGAGAAAAGCCGCCGACATCTTAGTTGTGTTGGTGAGCGTGTCTCGTGCGGTTCTACGCGAGGCGTTGCTTCTGTTCATCCCGTAAATCGCTGGATAAACAGAGTAGTATTTTTGCAACGGGGATCCTCTTCTGAGAACCGTTTTACACTATGAGTGTCCACGAAGAAGTTTCAAGGATCCAGAAGAAGCTGGGCAAAATAACGTCCGGTGAAGGGGTCAGTATTAACAGGTTCTCGTCTCCGCTTCGCTTTTCGTTAGTAGCGAAGATGTCCTCTTCAACGCACGTTCAGTTTTATCATACCTAGACTGTCACCTTTCGCTTTCCATGGAATTTGAGACATAACGTATCATTGTCGCATTGTTTTATCTGTCACCTCAAACACAATACTTGCTCGTTTATATTACAACTAGCAGTGGCGTCTTAACCAAATAATCTGTTCTCGTTCGCCGAAGTGCCCAAGTCACTTCCCGCCTACATTCCTTTTCTTCTGCGCCACTTCGATTGTGGTGTGAAATCATGTATTTATAATGCTCTGCTTATTGCATTGCTTTATAACAGTTGTTATTAGCTTAGTTACGATTTCCTGTTTGAGATTGTCTTCTACTACCTCTTATTTTCATTTTTCATTTTTTCTGCTTTCTGAACCTTAACCATTCATGTGGGTATGATATCTAGTTTTACAACAGTTTATCATATTTTTGTTTCTATGTTTAGGGGCAAGATCAAGCTCTTGAATTGCTTAAAGCATTAAAAGAGTTAGATGTTACCTTGGACATCCTTACCAAAACAAGGATTGGAATGACTGTCAACGCATTGAGGAAATCAAGCTCTGATGAAGAGGTCATCGCTCTGTCCAAAACATTAATTAAGAACTGGAAAAAGTTCTTACAAGGTTATTATCTCATAGAACAACGGCGAAACTACTGATACAGTTTAAATGGCAGTTTGAACTGGTTGTATGTTCATTATTGTTTTGCAGGGCCAGCAACACCGAACAGTAAAGACTCAGCGAGCAGCTCTAAAGATAAAAAAGATGAAAAGCCCAAGAAGGAAGAAAGCCGTGAGAAAGAGCGGGAAAAGGATAAGGACAAATCAAACAAACAGACTGCTTCTTTTCCTCCCACAAGTAACACCACTGATGCGGTTCGACTTAAATGTCGTGAACTATTGGCAAATGCAATTAAAGGCAACAATGGTGAGCCTTTACATTCGAGAAATAGCTTTCTCATCTAAATGAGCTGGCCTTTACCTTGGTGAATATTTTTTCTAGATGTACCAGATGGCTGCGCGTCTCCTGAAGAACTGGCAGAAGAGCTGGAAGAAGCAATTTTTAAGGAGTTTAAGAACACAGACAACCGGTACAAGAACCGTGTCAGAAGTAGAGTAGCAAATTTAAAGGATGTCAAAAACCCAGAACTTCGTCAGAATTTTGTCAATGGAGCCTTGTCAGCAGCTAGGCTTGCCACAATGACAGCTGAGGTAAGGGGCTTGCGTTATTTTCTTTTCCAATTTTTCTTTCCTAATTCAAACTATAATTTCAAGTATCTTTTCCCCTGATATAGGAAATGGCTAGTAGTGAGATGAAGGAGATTAGAAACAAATTTATGAAAGAAGCTATAAATGATGCTCAGCTAGCAACTGTACAGGGTACTAAGACTGACTTGCTGAAATGTGGCAAGTGTAAGAAAAGGAACTGCACCTACAACCAGGTAAGATTATTAAATTTTTGTTTCTTCACTCATGCTAACAAAATTAAAATTTTGTTCTTTAGTTATTGCATTTATATTTTATGGTTCTCATTGGCTTTCCACTGTGTTACAGATTCAGACAAGAAGTGCTGATGAACCTATGACTACATTTGTTTTGTGCAATGAATGTGGCCATAGATGGAAGTTCTGCTGAAGTGATAGTTCAAGCTTTTATGAGTTGTTTTTGGCATACTTTCATCTAAATTTTTGTGTTTGGTGTGATTGACACACTGTCAGTTTTAGGTTTGACTTGATAAAACTTTATTGTGAGTTTAGTATGACTATTTAGGATATCTCTCCCACTGTTTTTTTTCTTCAAAGGGCCGAGCTTTAACCAATTTGGAGGCCCAGAGTTTTTTTTGTAACTGACCAAACTCATTGGTCTTTTGCATACTAATCTGAGTATGAGTCAGCACTCCAAGAGTCTGTAATGATGTACATATGCTTTTGCTTTAATATGATTGTAATACAGTACTTTTGAAACAATGTCCTAGGAATTATTCAATCACAACAGAAAGTTACGCAATATTGTTTTATCATATATTTGGACATGAATTTATATGTATAAGTATTGAATATCAACTTCAAAATAGGTAGACCATTAATCTTTGGTTACTTGCTCTGCATACAATTTTCTTAGTGTCTGGTCAAATAATCCAATCAATTAAGGTAGGAATTGATTCTTAAAAAAAGGTCCCCTGAAATTTTTATTTGAAGGTTCCTGTATGTGTGAGAACAGGGGGGGCTCAATTTGTCCTTAACCTTCATCTTTTGTCCCTTTCTTCTCTCATTTTCCAAATGAGGTTTTGGTTCTTTTGAACCTTCCCAATTAATTTGTGATAAGTATTGAAGTGGCCCCTATAGGGGTGAGTAGGTTTTCAAAAGCCCAACATTTGGGAGTTTTTTCTTTTTTCTTTTTTTTCTTTTTTTGCAACTTAATGATATCTTGGAAGAAGGTAAATGGAAATATGTGTTGTTAACTTTGTCCACAGGTAGAGCTAGCTATTTTTTTCTCAAACAATCCTTTGTCAACTAATGTAATAATGAACCTTGGCACTTGTTTAGCTTTCTGTGCTTGTATTATTTTTGTTGTGAAAAATATCTGAAACCTATCTATGTATGTATCTGTATTTGCATAGTGTAATACCACAGATTGTGAGTTGCTCTCAATGTACATTGTCTCCATCATATGGATGCATTTCTTGCAATACATAAACATTAAATGCAAGCCTTGCTTCGTTATTTCGAATTGCTCTACAATTTCCCGCGTTGCTATTCCTTTGTCACCTTTTGGTCGTACGGTGGGT